AATATATTTTGTTTCTTTTGAGGTGACAATTATTATAATCTAAATATTGTTAGTATCATTTCGGATTTTATAATATATAGAATTTTTATCTAATATTTATTTATGAATGTTTTGTAAATTATAGAATTTTAATTTTCAAATATTTTTTTTTAAATGTTTATAGTTTTCTTTCATTCATTAATGGAAAACCTTATTTTGTTTCTTTTGAAGTGACAATTATTACTCTCTAAACATTATTCATATGAATACTTTTATTTTCAAAGAGTTATAGTTTAGGAATTCATTGAGATGACAATTAATACATTCTAAACATTGTTGATAAAAATTCATTTAATATCTAACAATATCATACAACGAATATATCGATAAGTTACAAAACATTCAACACGTGCATCGCACGTGCATTTTACTAGTATATATATATATATATATATATATATATATACAGATTCAGAAAAATCTTAAAACATTTACATAAATTTAAATTCAAATCAAATCGAGAGGCTGTTTTTGCTGGTTGTAATTCAATGATTTTTTCAGTTACTACGTTGTTGGAGGTGATCCTGTTTGCTTTCATGGAAGTTTAATTAGAGAGAAGAAAGATGAAATAAAAAATAAATAAATAACTAAAAGGAGCATATAAGAGTTTTAGTGTCATTTCACACATATTCAGCCATCGTTTGACACGTATTCAGTAACATAAGGTTCTGTTTGGTTAGATAGAACTAGAAAGAAAAGAAAAGAAATGAAAAATAAAAAGAAAAGTGAAGTGAATGAAAAGAAAATTTATTTTCTAGCATGCATTTGGTTAAGGTGAAAATTATTCAAGAAAATTGTATTGAAGAGCATAAAAGTTACTAAAAATATTTGTACATACCTAAATTGTCCTTATGTTATATTTTTCTTATTTTATAAAAATAATAAAATAAATAGTAGAATAGTAAAGAATTAATTAGTAGTAATATATATCTAAAAAAAATGATATAGTTTTCAATTAATTGACACTTACAAATTACTATTTGTAGAATTCTAAGTTAAATCAAACTCTACCATCAATAAAGTTATTATTGGTTTGTAATTCTTTGAAATCCAGTAAAAAATAAAATAAAATAATTATTGGTGGCTTACAATTATCGATATAGTTGGTGGACAAAATAGGAATGCAAAATAGAAAGGTATTGCTTTCACGAGAAAATTTTATTTTCGCGTGTTTTGGGCAGAAACGTTTTGGAGAAAATAACGGGTTGCGAGAATTCAAATTTTCTAGAACGTTTCATTTTCATTCTATCCAAATTTTAAAAAAGTTATAATTTTTTTTTTTTTTTTTTTCTACCTAACCAAACAGAGCCTAAAGAGTCGTTAATAGTAGTTTTTTATTTTATATTTTTTATAGTTGGGCAAAATAGCAGCACTCATTTTTTAATATAGACTTTTATGAAGTTTGTATAAATTCATGATGGAACTAAAACTATCTTAAACGCAAGTTCAAATTGAGCCTGAATGAGTTTAGTTTTTAAACAAGCCGAGCCCAAACATTGATGAAGTGAGCCCAAACCTAAGCTGAGTCCACAAACAAGCCAACGAGCCCGAAAGACTCAAACTCGATTTATTTGTGAATTGTGGCCCTATCCGGACTAATGGTAAAGGCATCCAAAACTTTTGGTGGCTTGGAGATGTTAAATGATTTAATAATGACGTGATTGAGATATATTTAATTTTTATAATACTCCATTAGTTTCATGGAGGGATATTATTCTAATTTTATACATAAATGGGGGGTACTAAAAGACACCAAATAAAAAAGATACCTTTTTGTAAATATGGTAACAAATGTAATGATTATTGCAGACGTTCCGCATAAACACCGATCAAGTAGGGCACAAAAAGAGAAAAAGAAAAAAGAAAACTAGGGAGAGGAGGGGGGTTCAAAGGGGATTTCTCCAAACAACCCAATCTTCCAAGGATGATTATCAGGTAACAATGTTTTTTCTCATCCTTGTCCTCTCTCTCTCGTTTATTTATTTTTTATTATTATTATTTTTAATTTTAATTCTTCATAGTTGCATAAACCCTAATTGAATATTTGAGGTAGAAAAGTTATGGAGTTTGTGAATAAATAAAAAACAGATTTAAAAAGGATTGGGTGCATCCAAGAAGAATGTGCAAATTTAAAATATGAGTTTGTGAATTGCAAAAATGAGTTTGTGAATGGTATTGCATTGCTCTTAAAGCATGGATTCGCACTCGTGAAATGTGGCTTAGATTGCAAATAGTTTGAATCAATTTGAAATATGAGTCAATGGATGGTCAAACTTGACTCAAATATTGTTTGTCCAGCAATGGAGTTTGGACTCGATTCACTAAAATATTTTATTCAATTTCACAATAAGAAAGGAGCCACAAAATGTTAGGATTAGAGCCCTAGCCATGCCCTAACCAGTCCGGTCCTTCGAACACAAACTTATGAGAAAGTGATTGACAAATACAAATAAACTTTTATACAAGTTGATTATATTCACATTGTTCATGTAAGCATGTTGTGACTTGTGAGTCAATTTATAAGTCACACGAAAAATGATTTAAAAAATGAATTTGAGCTTGAGCTTGAATCGAACTTCAAATGAAAGTGTTGGATGATTGAATATTGTTTGTCCAGCAATGGAGTTTGGACTCGATTCATTAAAATATTTTATTCAATTTCACAATAAGAAAGGAGCCACAAAATGTTAGGATTAGAGCCCTAGCCATGCCCTAACCAGTCCGGTCCTTCGAACACAAACTTATGAGAAAGTGATTGACAAAAACAAATAAACTTTTATACAAGTTGATTATATTCACATTGTTCATGTAAGCATGTTGTGACTTGTGAGTCAATTTATAAGTCACACGAAAAATGATTTAAAAAATGAATTTGAGCTTGAGCTTGAATCGAACTTCAAATGAAAGTGTTGGATGATTGAATTCATGTACCATGGAGTTTAATGAATTGACTGATATACCATTCAACATTAAATACTTATTGAGACTTTTAATACACTCGTCATACAAATAAAATGGTATCACCAATTAATTAAGTATTATCGGAAGAAATCAAAGAACATCTTTGCAATTCTTTAAGATTTTTTTTTTTTTTTTTGATAGATGGTGAGAACTTTATCTGAATTTAAACTGTACTGACTAATAGCGATAGGACCCACTAAAAGAGATTATTTATATTTACATGTCAAAATATATATGGTTCGTGAATAGTGATACCAAGTGAAATAATTATCACTAAAAGAGATTATTTATATTTACATGTCAAAATTATATATGGTTAGTGAATAGTGATACCAAGTGAAATAATTGGTTATTCTCTTTCTTCAACTGCATATTTGAGATCACATCGGACTAATATTCGAACTTAATTTGGATGTTGGTTAACAAATTTGAATCCAATCCCGAGTTTAAACTAAGTTGAAAAAAAGATTTTAAAGTAAAGAAATTGTTATTAATAAATTATGCATACAAGTTTTAATGAATGGGTTCACAAACACATTTTGAAACATAGTAGCAATAAACATCATAATGCAATAATGCAAGGCGCAATTGTTCCAAGAATATATCACATGTAAAACTGCACCTAAAATAAATAAATAAAAAAACTGATTAAATCAATAAATCAAATCAAATCAATTGATTTAGTTTTGCTTCATTTTTATGAAATTTGTTTATAAGTAGTTAGACTTTAACAAGATCAAATCGAATAGAGCCATTATAGATATATACATAGCATAATAAGATTTAATTTCATTTTTCAGCCACTCAATAGTCGCAATTTGTCCCTTGCTAATGATTTACTCTGAAAAGGCTGCCTTAGCCTTGGCAACAAAATGAGTTCAACGGTCAATGTTTAGTCTGGTATGACAATTTTTACCAGTCAACATACACAAATCACAAATATAATACGGAGTACCATGCATTTTATATACAACAGACAATAAAATGTTATGTTCATAACATTTTTGTAACCATGTATTTAATGTTTCATTTTCATTAATTTTTTTTTTCCTTTTTCATTTTCATTAATGAAATTGTATTTTTGTCAGGTAAAAAAGTTGGGCTGAATTATTGGACTTGGGCTAGTTATTGAACTGAATTATAAAATAATTTAGAATCGAAAAACCAAATTGAACTAAACTACATCGTCCTTTGTTGATTTTGGGATCTACTTTGTTCCAATTTTTATAAGATTTGCTTTGCTTCGGTTTTATTGATTTTAGTATCTATTATCTATTTTCATTTAAAATTATATAAAATAAGGTGCTTTTTGATTATTCAATTCAATACTTAATTTTGAATAGCACTTAATTTATTCAAGATTAAATGTTTATTCAACTAAGTACATGCAATTTGGATATATCTGAAAACGATTAACATTACTTAAAATGGGATAAAATTTTCAATGACAATAATGTTTCTTATCTAAGTACATTTTTTTTTTTACAAGGCAATAAGGGTTAGAATTAGATTAATAGATACATAAAATCAAAACTTGACACTCCAAAATTCACTGGAGGTACTAACTCACTGAACTATCGAGTCATCTACATTAAGTATCGTTAAAAAAATTAAAAAAATATATATTTCAAGTACCACTTAAAAATTTAAAAGCTTAAAATTTAGATTTTTATAAAACACCACATAACTAATTTCAGTAATGTTCTTGTGCAACCCTGCTCATTATTTAAAGGATAAGTGTGATAGGTGGTACGCTTGCTCTTTCACAGTTATGTGAGACTTCCGTTTGAATTACCTTACTTAGGAAAGTAAGTTGCAACTCCAAACTTCTTTCACACAAAAGTTTGACTTAACATTGGGTCAAAGACCGATCAACCATCGGGTTGAGCGATTTTTCCCATCCGGATCCCACTTGGGACACACCTCTTAATGGGCCCATATATTATTCGGCCGCCTGGTCCAAATTTAAAGCCGCCTCTATCTCCGGCTGCCATCCAAAGCCGCCTCTATTTCTCCCAAACACTCTGCAGCTTCCTCCATGGCTTCCAACAGCTAATTTTCTCTACACCTTCACGCACACAAAACTTCAGAAGAATCAAATGAATTATTAACACGTGTCTTCCATAGTAACACTTGTCACAATAGTGTATTTCAATAACTTAATGTTTGATTCCAATTGGTCCAATCTATAACATACCATGGACTTCATTGTAGGAACACCAAAAGTTCCCAAAGAACCTCCTGTCCCTATTAAAACCCCAAAAGCTACAATTGCCTTCCCAGCCCCTCCAAAGCTCAATTCAACATAAACCCTCTCTCTCTCTCTATATATATACACACACGCGCGCACAAAAACACACACACTGATTTCAAATCAAATTCATTTCTCTCGCTCTCTATTGAGATGGCTCTTGTTTGTAGACTTCAATCTTTCTCTTCTTATTCTTCGACCCAATTCAGCAAAACTAATTCCTTCAACTTAAACCCAATTTGTTCCATATCATACTCATCTTCTTCATCACCATCCTCACCCTTCACAGAGAGGCACTCAATCGAACGCTACCAAAGAGACAACTGGCTATACAAAACCCAGTTGGAGCAGACCTCTTCCTGTCCGCTTCCACCTGATCCCAGCTCAATCAGAGACTACGACATATCTCTGCAACTACCGGAGCTCAAGAAACTGCTTCAGGTGTTGAGAGAGAAGAGAGAGAGTGGTGGGTTTGGGAAGGAGGAGGGAGGAGAGAGAAGGCCAGGGAATGTGTTCTTGGTTGGGACAGGGCCTGGTGACCCAGAGCTGTTGACACTCAAGGCTCTGAGAGTGATCCAGAGTGCTGATCTTTTGTTGTATGATCGATTGGTGTCCAATGATGTGATGGATTTGGTGGGTCCTGAATCTAGGCTTCTCTATGTTGGCAAGACTGCTGGGTACCACAGCCGAACCCAGGTTAGTTTCTTCGTCTACACAGTATATGTATATGCATAATGAGTAAATTTATGTGTGTATGTATGTATATGTTGAGTTTTGGGACATTTATCTCAAATGGGTATTTGGGTTTATTCTGATTTTGCACATAAATTGGAGATGTGGATGACAATTAGCTGAAATTGGATTGTGGGTTTATTTGATTCGTGAGTTTTCTCTCTGATTTTGCTATTATTTTGAAGATTTTTGCAATTCAGAAATGGTGATTTTGCTATTATTTTGGAGATTTTCATACTTCAGAAATGGAGATTAAATTGTATGGTTGCATGAATGTGGTTCCCAATTTTGTTGCTCCGCAAATGGAGGAAAACAAATTAAACAAAAATTCAGAATGTTATTTGGACAAATTAACTGAAAGAAAATTGAGTAGTTGTATTGGCCACTGGACTATGTTTGTGGAGTTCATTGTTCTACGAGGTCCTGAATGATTAACAAATTAAGTTCTAATTTTTTTTTTTCTTTTATTTTTTTGTCATTATATTTTCGGAGCTCGTTAATGGATTATTGTTGTGCAAGAGAAGTAATTCTTGGATTTTTGCAGGAGGAAATTCATGAGTTGCTTCTGAGTTTTGCTGAAGCTGGAGCCAAAGTTGTGAGACTTAAAGGAGGTGATCCACTGGTGAGTTTTCATGTGGAAACTGTTAGAACAAAAACTTCTTAGCTATAAACTTCAACAAGCATGATCTATCAAAAAATAAAAAATAAAAAAAATTGAAACTTCAACAAGCTGTACCTTAGAAATGTTAATTATATTTTTTTTATAATAAACTTTAGTTTTTTGTCCTGAATTTCTGTGGGTGTATCAGGTGTTTGGGAGAGGTGGGGAGGAGATGGATTTCTTGCAACAAAAAGGGATTCAAGTGCAAGTCATTCCAGGTATGATTGTTTGACAGAGTACAAGTCCATCATTAGAATTAGACTTTTTAGGCTTTGTTTCTCCAATTTTAATTCGACAATGAAATTTCCTCTTAATATATTTAGTCTTCATTGTAATGGGATGATTTTAAGATCCTTTGATTGGTATTGTTTGGAAGAGATCGAGTGATGGAATACCTTCATTTCCTTTACACATAGAAAACTTACTGTTCATGAAGCAGAATAAAATGGGCAGAAAAACAAACAAATATGAAAGAGTCACATTAATATATAGGCACGACTTCATTAAAGTGAAAAATGTTGTGACCGATAATCAAATATACTATGCTAACATATCCACATACGCTTTTCTCAAGATGCCTTGAGATTTTCGTTCTCTATGTTCACATGTGCAAAACAATCCGTGCATTGTTCATTGACAAGTAGCATCATGTTGCCATCAATAAAAAAAATGAGAGACAGGACACATCATGTTATCTCAAGTGAAGAGAGTACAAGAATAAAGAAGTATATGGAAGTTGATACTCTTTGTAAATGCCATCACACAACAGGCATGACATTTTTTACTATGAAATATATAAGAGTGGACTCTCCATACGTCCCCAATGTCACCATACGAGGATGAGGAAGATGGATGAAACTATATCATACCCAAAACATTTTTCAGTACGGCCTTCCTATTCCTCCTAATGCCGTTGTTGTTTCTTCTGGCTGATTTTGTGTTGTTTCTTTTGTTAAATTACTTTTCTTATTTACATGGAATCTCTTGTACCCTTCATTGTACCTGTGTCAATACGATTTTGCCCATGTATGGATATGGCCATAGAACATGTGTTGACACAAAGTCAAATTAGACAGGGGACACCCCTCTCTTAACACTTTATGTGTGGTGATATAAGAAGAAAAAACTCAAATTTGATGTTGGTGAAGGTTTCATATTTTTGATATAAATGGAATTCCCTTTCTTCATCTATAGTCATCCATTTAAGTTTTAACTAAGTGCATCTTAAAAGAACAATAACATAATATATTATACTATTACATAATATATAATTTTTTCAAACATTTAGGATGCCTTTATGTAATGGTACCCAACTTTGCAGCACATTTAGTGCCAAGTCCTTGTATTGTGAGATTTAGTATTGAGGATGTTTGACACTTTGATACACATCCACACTCGATACACATACCTGATTCCATGTGGTTAGCCTTGGGGAGATATTTATATAATTCATATCCTCAATGCTTTGCAGGTATCACTGCCGCTTCAGGAATAGCAGCAGAACTGGGGATCCCTTTAACCCACCGTGGTGTTGCAAATAGTGTTAGATTTCTCACGGGCCACTCAAGAAATGGAGGAACAGACCCCCTTTTTGTTGCAGAAAATGCAGCGGATCCTGATTCAACTTTGGTTGTTTATATGGGTTTGTCAACTCTCCCTTCTCTTGCACAAAAGTTGATACACCACGGTTTGCCACCCAATACACCAGCTGCTGCAGTAGAGCGAGGAACCACGCCTCAACAACGCATTGTAAGCAAACATAATCCTCAACCTATGTTAATTTTTCTGTGTTTAATGCTAATTTTTGATATATTTTTTTTCACCCAATGTCGCAGATTTTAAGTTTCTGTCTTTCATTTTAATTTCGTTTCTGAATGCATCTTCAATGTATCTGGTGCAAGTCTAACTCTTTAAAACACAAGTCTATGGGATTATGGTCTCCATGATTGAGCCTTGTTACATTATTTTCTTGAGCATTGGTTTGAGGGTCAACCCTTGTGTACATTTTATGCAGGGTTATGTGTATATATACTTGCGCATTTCAATGCCTTTGATTAATTGCAGTTGCATTTGCAATTATACAGGTATTTGCAGAGCTCAAGGATCTTGCTGATAAAATTACGTTCACCCAGTTAGTATCACCAACTCTAATCATCATTGGGAAGGTTGTTGCACTTTCACCATTCTGGCCGCATTCTTCTGTAGAGGCATCCGTTTTACTGGAAGCCAAGTAGAAATTTGAAACTCAGAAATGAAAGCAAGCGTTGTCTATGGGTGTACTTATTGGCACTGCACGTTCCAGTTGCAACGCAAGCTAGCTGTTTTTAATGAAAGCTATCAGTTTTGGAAATTGGTTTTTGTGGAAGGGCTCACATTTGAGTCTCAAATTATTTGAGTATTTCTCAGTGTATTAAGTAGAGAAGATAGCAGAATACGCGCTGGTGGTTGAAATCTATACTGAATTATTGATGGAAACCTCTCAACAAGGGGAACATGGTCTTGAACTCCACTTACCGGCAACAGAAGAAAGCAAGCTTTTTAAATTTTAATTATCTTTTTCTTTATTTATTAAAATGAGTTAATAAATTTTTTTTTTTTTTTTTGGTAAGAATTAAATTTAATTACATACAAATGTGATTGTATCTTTTGATAAATCTGGCATTAATTGAATGATTTTCTTCCTATAACATGTTTAGTCTTGTGGGCATGGATTAGTTGTGAATTGTGGTGTAAACAGAATGCTTGACATTCACAGAGGGTGGATGGTTTGTATGTTGGCTTTCACTGATATTCAAAGTGTGTAACAGTTGTTTGATCTGTATATACATGATTTGGCTTGCTTAATAATGGATTATCAGAATTGTGCTTACAGTTAGGGGATTTAATGAGTCATCATCAGTGACCAAGTTCTTGCCTTGAATGTGTTACGACAACCGTTCGGTCCCTTGCTTCGTTCCTATTGTTTCTTTTCTGCAGCAAGAACAGAAGTTCGAAGTAGGTTTCAAATATTTCTTTGCCACTTCGAGTTTGGAAATGGGAAGGAGCCACTTGTTTGGTTTGAGTACGAAAGTAGTCATTTTGCGTAAAATAATGTCAAAGTTGTGTTTGGACAAAAAAAAAAAACAGACGACCTTTGGAAAGGGAAGAAGAAATTGTTCTTCGAAACTCGGATTATAAAATCCAGTAGTCCATTGACCTTACTGGTTCATTGTATTCAAGTCACGTGCCTTCATTTTTCTCATTCTTGAGGATTTGTCCAATTTGCCAACACCACTTTCTTGACATCCCGAAGAGATTTTGTCTGTTGTGTGGATTTTGTGGTTGATTAGGGTTTGTCAGGACACCAAAAAAGAATTGGATTATTCTTACCACTCGTATTTGCACTGGTCATAATGAATGTTGGCGGTCTGATCAACATACGATTCTGGTGGGGCTGGTGAAACTTCGTGATCCGGATCAATATTACAGAATCGCAATGAGAAAACTATTGCGATTCTTAGGTCAAATCATACTTGAATGAGTTGTGTTACTCGACCTAAGATGTATTCTTCTGTTACTAATTTTTCGTTGCACTTTTTCAATATTCACATAGTTTTGTCATGAAAGAAACAAAACTTGAATACGTGATTCATTTTCAATAATGTCTCAAAATTGTGGGATGTCTCTAATTTAATGCCACGTCTGAAGTTTTTTTAATGCGTTTTATATTTATTCGTGAGCCATTGAGCTAACTAAACTCAGTACGAAAAGTTACCTAGTAAGTATAGAGCGGAGTATGAATGATTTTGTTCTATGATGTCTAGTTATGAATGTTGTAATTACAAGGGTTAGAATCATAAAACCCCCTTAAATATTACACAATGCAATCAAATGTGTGTGTATTGTGTTGGGGATTTTGGATATATATTTTTATACAATTTAATTTTTAAGTCCATTCACATAATTTTATTAAAATTCACTTTAACTAAAACACTAATATATTCATATCATTATATAATCATACCACATTATATATACACTGAAATAATAGGTTTGTAAAATATATAAAATCAATAAGAGAAGAATAAAGAAACCTCTTGCCTATGTAATGGAATCAAATGTGTGTGTATTGTGTTGGGGATTTTGGATATATATTTTTATACAATTTAATTTTTAAGTCCATTCACATAATTTTATTAAAATTCACTTTAACTAAAACACTAATATATTCATATCATTATATAATCATACCACATTATATATATACTGAAATAATAGGTCTGTAAAATATATAAAATCAATAAGAGAAGAATAAAGAAACCTCTTGCCTATGTAATGGAGAGGCATGCAGTATGCGCTGTCCTAAAGCCTTTACAGTCTCCCTACGTGCAGGTTGTGACGACTATGAAATGTTCCAAGATACAACTCCTTAAATATTACACAATGCAATAGTTATGAATGTTGTAATTACAAAGGTTATAATCATACCACATTATATATATACTGAAATAATAGGTCTGTAAAATATATAAAATCAATAAGAGAAGAATAAAGAAACCTCTTGCCTATGTAATGGAGAGGCATGCAGTATGCGCTGTCCTAAAGCCTTTACAGTCTCCCTACGTGCAGGTTGTGACGACTATGAAATGTTCCAAGATACAACTCCTTAAATATTACACAATGCAATAGTTATGAATGTTGTAATTACAAGGGTTAGAATCATAAAACCCCCTTAAATATTACACAATGCAATCAAATGTGTGTGTATTGTGTTGGGGATTTTGGATATATATTTTTATACAATTTAATTTTTAAGTCCATTCACATAATTTTATTAAAATTCACTTTAACTAAAACACTAATATATTCATATCATTATATAATCATACCACATTATATATATACTGAAATAATAGGTCTGTAAAATATATAAAATCAATAAGAGAAGAATAAAGAAACCTCTTGCCTATGTAATGGAGAGGCATGCAGTATGCGCTGTCCTAAAGCCTTTACAGTCTCCCTACGTGTAGGTTGTGACGACTATGAAATGTTCCAAGATACAACTCCTTAAATATTACACAATGCAATAGTTATGAATGTTGTAATTACAAGGGTTAGAATCATAAAACCCCCTTAAATATTACACAATGCAATCAAATGTGTGTGTATTGTGTTGGGGATTTTGGATATATATTTTTATACAATTTAATTTTTAAGTCCATTCACATAATTTTATTAAAATTCACTTTAACTAAAACACTAATATATTCATATCATTATATAATCATACCACATTATATATATACTGAAATAATAGGTCTGTAAAATATATAAAATCAATAAGAGAAGAATAAAGAAACCTCTTGCCTATGTAATGGAGAGGCATGCAGTATGCGCTGTCCTAAAGCCTTTACAGTCTCCCTACGTGCAGGTTGTGACGACTATGAAATGTTCCAAGATACAACTCCAATGTCCTCCATACGCACGTTCACAGAGTGACGATTACCAAGTCTTGTAGTGTCACGTTGCCCATAAACTCAGATATATAATTGAATATATATAATATAGTATTTGGTTGAAGAATGAAGGAATGAGTTTTTAAGAAAAGGAAGTAAGAACTCTTTTATTTGTTTGAATACTCTTACTATTTAGAGGCCACTACTTACCTATTCGCGAAAGGACACGTCATTTCTCAAAAGACTTTTCACCGTTAACTTTTCATACCCATTCAAACACTTTACCATTAAAGAAGTTTTAAAAACTTCATCGTTAAAAACCTAACCTATTGTACCTAAGAGCTGCAGAGAGTCGTGAACATATTTTTCACCAATGTGAGCTCAAAATCAATGTGGAATGAGCTATAAACCTAAATATGATTTGGTAAGACAATCCAAATCCATGAACAATTAATGAAATTAGTAACAAAGATTTTTTCATATTTTATTTTCAACAAGCGATACTTAGAGCTAGCTAGCACATTGCACAATCCTTAAATATCAAATCCAAAAACGAACATATATGCCACACATTCCATTCTAAATCAGAAGCTCTAACCATATGTATCAAATCCATATGTTGATCTTCCCCTTATTTGATCCAAACTGAGTGGAAAACCAAAGCAAAGTACTCATTAGCTTAGAACAATTAAAGCTACATTTTCTTGAGGAATTTCTTGAACCAAAGGGCTGTGTACTTGGGGTATCTCTTCAGTCCATCTTTGAAATCTACATAGTTGAGACCAAACCTCGTAGTGTATCCTGAACTCCATTCGAAATTGTCTAGAAATGACCATGCATAGTAGCCCTTAATATTCACACCCTTCCTGTCAACATCCAAAACTTGCTTCAACAATCATATCGTTGTCTTAAAACTCGAAAATTGGTTCAGTAACATTTTTTTGTTTTCATAGAATTAAAAATTTAAAAAATTGTATTAAAACTGGTTTGGATGTTAGTTTATCTGAAAACTGTTTTTTGAAAATTCATAAAAAAAAATTTGTTTTTGAAGAACTGACTTTTATGGTTTTTCGAAATTTTGAGAACTCACTTAATGGCTTTTATAACGGCCAAAAGATGGCGATGGTAGAAATCTATCCTTTGATAATCCTTGACGCCTTCCTTAGCTGTGCTATTGTTATAGTCACCCATGCCTGGAAAAAAAAAATGCTAGATATTAACTCCGAAATTAGGTGAGCTAAAATTGAATCAACAAAATGTAGAGGTGATAATTTTGCCTTACCATTTTCTGCAATGTAAATAGTTGGATTGTTGTATTTTTCTTTTGTGTAGACCAGAAGATCATAGAGTCCATGTGGATATACGAAAAAAGCGCTAACACCAGTCTGCAAAATTCATATGTTACAAGTAAATTGTGATATGAATAAAAAAAATTTGTTTGTAGAAATTAACCAACTGAACTATGTATTGTAATTTTAATTATTATTTTTTTCTCGACTTTTATTGCCAGCTTCACACGTTCCTCTTGCAAACTTACCGGGTCACCAATTGGTTTTCCATTTCGGTACGCTGGGAAAAAAACAAAAAACAAAAAACAAAATAAATGTGACTGAATGCATTGGTAGTAAAAGAATAAAAAATAAAAATAAAAATAAACGAATGACGCATTTTGTTAGAATTACAAGACTTCACCCATTTCTTATTTTTGAGTTTTGTTGAAATATACTTAGTCTAGTTTTTATAAAAATTCTTCTCAAGAACTTAAAAAATAAAAAATTATTTTAAGAAAACTATAAAGATAGTTACTATAATACAGTTTAACTAAATTGTGATGAACAATAAAATAGATTTTGTATGTGAATATTTTATTTTTTATTTTGTTCAGTTCTGGGAAAACAAAACATTAAACCAAATAGGGTTTTGAAACCGAAAAATATGTTAATTCAAGTAAGGGGCTTTATAATATTATGTTTTAGAATGAACTCACTTGTAAGTTTAGCAAGACTATCAGCTTTGGCACTGACATTAATACTGTTAGCAAAAGGAACATTAGCAGCAAAATTTGCAGTGTAGTAATTTATTCCAAGGACATCCATGGACCCTTTTAGCATCGCAGATTGCTCAGCAGTGAACTTTGGCAGTCGTTTTCCGACTAGCTTACGCATTATGGGTGGATAATCACCATAAACTACCGGGTGAAGAAACCTGTAAAAAAACATTTTAATTTACTCAGCATTTTTTGCACGCTATAAATACTCATTTAAAGGAGTAGTAATACTTGAATTGAACGATAAGTTTTGATTAATCATGTTTACTAAATATAATAAAGTGAAGGGTCCTACTTTCTTAAATCAATCAAAACTTGTAGGTCTAACAAACCATTTTAAGTAATCAGTTCAAAAATTATTTTCCCAAGAAAAATGAGTAACACAAACTTACCATTTTAACCGATATATTTAATAATTTATTTAAATTTTTATAGATTCCAAAAAAACTATATCAATTAAATGGTTAAATATGGAGAATTTATAACTAATCTCCTAAGAGAACTTTCTCTCAAGCGCATTACTGTATATATGTTATAAGCAATAATTAAATATATCTATATGGTAACATTGTGACAAAGTATTAAGCAATGTAGTTATATTCTAAAAAATACAATGATGTTATGTTCGGAGCCTCGAATTAGTATCTTGAATTTGAAATTACAAAAAATTTAATTTAAATTTTGTACTAATTTTTTTTTTTTCATATTTAAATCTAAGACACGGATTCGATACCCATAGCATGAGAATGTTTAAATCTACCATAGATACTCACCATCCATACATAAAATCAAGGGCTCGTTCAGCTGCTTTGTGGTTAATTTTGGACCTCGAGTAGGGCACAAACCAATGAGACACTGTTGTTATCCCTATCTGGCCCTTTTGTTTAGCCTACACAAAATCACCACCATTAAGAATACTTGTCACATAAAATAATTCATTTTGATATATATATATCACATAAAGTAATTCATTTTGATACGATATATATATATATATATATATATATATATATATATATATATATATATCCATGTTTTTTGTGAATTGGATCATGAAATATATACCAATGTCAATGTCTCTAATCACCTGGTATTTTTGCTTGTACAGTTTCACTGTTATTGCATGACAAAGGAGCATATTGTGGCCAACAATATAAGGCTCCGTGGCGGAGTTACCGGCCGGGCAATCGTTGTTCATCCAAGAAGAACACCGTCCGGGTGCCTTGGTTCCCACATCATAGCCATCAATGGTGAAAATCCATGGTTCATTTATCGTCATCCAATTCTTTACTCTATCACCAAATTCTTTAAAGCACACTTCTGCGAAATCAACAAAGTCATCCCTGCCAATCAAAAAAAGAAAAAAAAAAAAAAAAATTCAAATTGTTTGATTAGGGGAAATTCAAATATATATATATATATTTATTAACTTGATTTATCATGGTAAACTGTCGTGAGAGTTTTAATATTTATATATGTTTTAATAGAACTTTTATTTACTGTAGATATAAAAATCATAAAATATTGAGGGTTTTACTTACACTATCCGAGTGCTTAAAAAGCCACCATACTCATCTTCTAGAGCTTGGGGAAGATCCCAGTGAAAGATTGTCACCGCGGGTTGTATACCTGGCCATTTTTTGCAGAAGAAGTATGTGAACGGTAGGCATTTTTTTTTTTTTTTTTTTTTTTTTTTTTTTTTTTTTGCAGAAGAATTAAATATGTGTTTGTGTGTGTGTGAGAGAGAGAGAGGACGAACCATTTGCTAGTAGCTCGTTGATGAGATTGTTATAGAAGGCAACACCTTCCTTGTTCACTCCACCACTCAGCTTCCCAGCTAATTAACCAAAAAAAAATAATTTAAATAAGAAAAAAACCGATTATAGAAAGGAACAAAAAAAAAATTGACAACAATATACATGACATATATATATTTTTATTTCATTTGGATGATAAACACAAATAATTATATATAAATTAAAAGCATTACATCAATCAGGAAAATGATAGAAGTCCCGATTTATGTCGAACTAATTAAAAACATTTATTTAAAGAGATAATCGAATCTTATCTAATATTTAACGAGAATTCTTGTTGGATACTAATTATTGGAGTGGCACAAAAAAATTAAAAATTATTCTAGCTTTACTCATCATTAAATGCATAAAAGGAGAATTTCTTTTGGAACTTTAAAATTTATTTTATAAGTTCTAAAGTGGTTTAAATTTTGAAACTCATTAGTCAAGGCAGAAAAAAGAAGTTTTGGATGACAGGTATGATTTGGGTCACCAAATACACTGCCAGGTCCCATTTATGTATGATTTGGGTCACCAAATACACTGCCAGGTGCCTAACCCGGCCCACTAACTAGGTGGACGAGCTTGGGCTTGGGCTTGGGCTTGGGCTTAGGTTTGGGTCTAAATGGTATTAAATACCACTTCTGCGAGAAGTGGGCTAATCCCGGCCCATGGGCCTAAAATTTGTTATAAATAAGATATAATATGTCAATAATATAATGTGTACATATAGTGGGTGTTAGTGTGTGTGTGTGTATATATATATATAAACAATTACTTTCCTCTTTATTTAGAAAAAAAACTTCTTTCCTCTTTATTTACCAAAAAAAAAAAAAAAAAAAACTACTTTTCTTTTCTTTTTTATTTATTTTAACTTAATCATCTTTATCCCTTTTTATCCCTTATATAGAGACTCAATTCTTATGGTGTTACCGGAGTGATAAAGACTAGTTCTCAGGTGTCCCCACCTATGAATCTATGATCATAAATTCAAATTCCCTACCCCTAAAAAGAATAATTAAAATAATAATAATAATAATAATAATAAATCCATTGCTAGTTATATAGTGTGTAGTTTGCCCAAGGTGATGGAGTGTAATTTACTCAAAATATTTCTTATATAATATACAATATTAAATACTCTCTTTTTTAAAATAAGTGTTATTTATTTATTTTTTTTTGTCTGTTTTAAAATAATAGTTCATTATTTTTTTTTTATAACAATATATTTCAAATTTAAATATTCAAAACCTAAAATTTCAAAATAATAATCTACTTTTGTTTTAATTTAAAATTTAAAATTTAAATATTTAAAACTTAAAAAAAATAAGCTAGTAACATTTTCAGAGACAATACCTCCTTAAAAATTACTATTCCCCCTCAACAATACTTAAATTGGGACATTTTTGAATCAGTATTGTTTCAGAGGAAGAGATATGATTAGATTGTACTCTCTCTCTCTCTATATGATTAGATTGTACTCTCTCTCTCTCTCTCTATATATATATATATACACACACACACGATGGAAAACCTTGAGTGGGTCGTCCTGTCACGTAATTACATCGATTCGTGTAATCATCACCAATCTTTGGCACCACATATCACTGTCACCTAACCTTTAAAGCTTTTGGGGGAACAATAATACCCCACAAAAAAATTAAAAAAATGTGGCTAGTTCAATTATCACGCATGCATGATTTGATGTTACGAATTGTGCTCGTTGCACTATTTGGATCGGTTATGTATATTATATATATATATATATATTAGCTCTTTTTTGAACACTAACATCCCTCGCCAGCTTAATTCATTTTAATAATAAAAATAAAAAATATATCTCAACTTGTAAAATAACAAATTTATCCATACCTATGTCCTGTCTAACCCAACATCGGCTCTTCCCTCCCTCCACATCCGCTGCCACCACAATGGCCGCCGCTTCCACCTACCGCTATCATCTCCTTTCAGCCATGATCGCCGCCACAATCTCTCTACACCCACCGCCACAGCCAATGCCACCATCTCTCTCCACCCACCTATGATTACACAATATCACCATCTATCTTATCACCACCACCATGGTTGATCTGTGCCCGCGGTGGCCCAATAAGCCGCTGTGAGAGTGAGGAGGAGGTTAGTTGCAGATGGACGGTACAAAAAGGAAGTGGATCGCGGCGGTAGAAGTTGAAGTGGATTAGGGTTTGTGGAATTTTGTGAAGGAATCCAAATTGATTTGTGGCTTGTGGATCGCGGCAGAGGCGCCAATAAGGGGTTGCTCATCTTCTTGTCGACCGACATTCATTTTGTAGGTATATTTGTGTATTTTAATTCTCTCTTTCAATCGAGTTTTTGTAGAGAAAGAAAAAAAAAGGTTTGATTTAGAAAGGAAATCTTTATTTGTGTTGTATATTTGAGCATTAATTCTGCGATTGCAATCGGGTTTTTGAAGAGAAAAAAGAAAGGATTTTGATTTAGAAAAGGAAAGTTATAGAATTTGGTATGTTTTTATATATATGTATGTATGTATGTATGTATATGTCATAAAAAAAACTCACCAAATTCTTGAATTTTCCTTTTCTAAATAAATCATTCAACAACCCCATTGAATCAATATAGATATATATGTTTTTTGGAAGTTAATCGATATACATGTATTCTTCAGTAATCATACAAAAATATATACAATCAATTGAAATATATGCAGAAACACACGTTCTTAATTTGATGATTTATGTTCATCGGTGAAGTGATTGTGGGTGGGTGGAAGGTTAGAACTATAATTTCAGTATTTAAATAGGTCAATTAATAATTAAAGAACAATAACTTAAATTCATCGTATGTCAAATGTGATAAGAATACTTTTGTTAACTTTATTAAACGTGACTTAACCCTGACTGTCAGAAGAGTAAACCTCACGAGACGTGAGTGTAATTAATTCATATATTATATATATATATATATATATATATATATATATATGTATGCCAAAGATGGTGATGATTACACGAATCGGCGACCCACTCAAGGTTTCCATCATGTTTATATTGTGTTTAACGATTCGATGTATTTGTTGTATGATACAAAATAATTTTCTTTAGTATGACAAATTTTGAGAAATAAAATAGACGGTAGAGATTAACTCATCTTACTAGATAATATTCTGGGCCACGAGATTGAGAATCTGAATACATCCAACCCTATGAACTTCATCAATTGCACATCTTCCTGTACCAACAATTTTTTTTTTCAATTATATTTATAGCAAACTATAAAATAACGTAAAAGTGATTAAAGACACTAGAATACATGTTGTGCATGAAAATTAAATGGCGTACAATTTACTAAAATATATGTTTTGCATGATAAATAAATGGAATACTAAAAAAACAAGAGATTTTTGTTATCACGGTGATATAAATAAAAAACTGTCCCAAATTAGTAGCTAAATAAATTAAATTCATAATTTTTGAAGTAAATTTTTTTTCTTGACAGATCATTTATTTTTAGTTCGAAAGTTCAAGCTATATTTTGTTTATGTTAGGATTCGATCACTAACACTAAGAAAATTTTGTGACGGGACAATAGCAATTTGTTTCGTTATGGTAATTTTTGTTGGGACAATAGTGAAATTTTATAGGTATATATATTAAAATGAGAAAAAAAAAAAAAACAAAAATCTCTAAGTGTTTCCATATATTGATTTATATTAGTATGAGAAAAAAATCTCACCATTCTTGTAAAATAACGTTACATATATTTATCCAAAAAAAAAAAAGAAAATTGACAAAAAAAAGAAGAATAAATGTCAATATGATACCTTGTAACGATGGTAAAAGTCGACCGCCACATCCCCGTTGCTGCCATTCAATATTTTACCTACAATGCCATCTTAATATTAAGAAAAAAAAAAAAAAAAACATTTGTTGACACTGTCATTACTCATTATGCATTATTATTATAGTTTTTAGTTGTAATAAAATTAATTTTAGAAGATTATTTATAAGCATATATGGTCAAAATTAACACGTTATAAATAATAAAATTTGATTAAAGAAAAAAAATGCAAATTTATTCAGAGACTAAAAAAATAAAAAATAATAAAAAGAAAGAAGAGTCTAAAATTCTCTTTAAGGGGGTGGGTCTATGTCAAAATTTTCAAATTATTTGTTTATATTATACATAAAGGGCAAAAATAATAATTAATGGGCCAGTCTGCCCTTGCCTTTTTTATGTAAATGTCCGTATACTCCTTTTAAGGGTTACAGACTTACAGGTTAAAGATAATGGGTCCCACGGGACAACAATATTGAATGAAGCATCTTACTTTTTCTGTTTGGATGTTAGTGTGAGGCAATATTGAACAGACTATTGAGTTCTTGGTTTGGATAGTAGTATATATAACTTACACCACTTTAGAGAGAAATTTAAAGGATTTTAACTCCAAATAAAATAAATGGGTGTCTCTGCATTATTTATTGAAAAAATAAAAAAACCAAACACTATGGTCATTTTAGTAATTGCTGTGACTAACAGCCCTACTAGACAGTAATTGACATACGAATGTGTTTATTATTTTTCAGAGAATGGTTTATACGAATGTGTTGATCAGATTTATATACTTTTAGTGTGAAGTACAAAAAATTATTCTGCTATATAAAAAAATAAAAAAAATAAAAATATTGCAAAAAATATATTTGCTATTTAGTATGTCCATATAAATTCCTATAAATTGAAACTTGTAACAAATTACTCCTTGATTATTAATTTTGACCAATATTTTCTTTTATAAAAATTCCAAAATAACTTTAAAGGCATTTTAAGTATTTCAGTTTTAATTTTTTTTTTAAAAAACCTCAAAAATTCCAAAATACCCCAATTTTTTTTTTTATATATAAAAATCCCAAAATTTGAGATCATTTAAGGTATTCCAGTCTTCGAATTGAAGAATTGTCCTTATTTGCTAAATCTGAAAAATGTAATAATTTTTTTAAACACAGATATATTTGACCATTCTTTATATAGTTGAGTTTTATTTATTTATTATTATTTTTCACTTTATAGATTTTTAAATTTTATATATATAAAAAACGTGAGTCTTCTTTAGCATTGCCCTATGAGGGTACTCCCTAATCCATTTTAGTATCAGGGGCAAAGAAGGGATGAAGAATATTAAGTTAACTATTGCAGGGCTCTGATTAAAAAAAAAAAAACACTCTATTGCATGGTCATATATAGCTAATGTATTCTATTAACCATTCACATCATCATATGGCCTTGGGGGATAGCATATATATATCAATTGGATGCAAGAAAAAAATTCTTACACACATTTTTATTCTATTTATGGAAAACTCTAATCATTGTTATATATATATATATATATATATATATATATATATATATATATATATATTAATGAAAAGGAGAAAACTCCATATATCCATCTCCTTTTTGTAGAATGGAAGTGTAGTTGAGAAAAGACTTTGTTCGAATTTAGCTGATGAAGAAATTCTCTTCTTTGCATAAGATATATATACACACACGTATATGTATAGAGAGAGGGTGTATGAGAGAGACCTGAATATTTGTGAGCGAAAGTATCCCATATGCTTGGTCCTTTCCCTCCTTCTCTAGCAGCACCTTCATACTGCAAAATCATACATAAAAACACATTAAGTTTAGAATGTGAATTATGTGATAAAGATTTCTATGTATATTTAAATTTCATAATCTTAGAAGCTGAAATATTAGATCATCGGAAGTCCAAAACTCATATATATATATATATATATGTATGTATGTATGTAAGTACTTGATAGGAAGATGAGCCTGCTCCAAATAAAAAACCATGAGGAAAGCTGCTACGATTAAACAAAGATGACACTTGACTCGCTAAAGCAAACTCAGTCCTAGCCAACGAGTTGACCAGGACCACCAGGACAAGTAGTAGAGAGCCTTGAATTGCCATACTCAATCTCAATCTGCAGTTGAAAGGTACTCCTCATCACCCCTTTAAATAGATTTTAGAAAAAATGATTTAATTTCATATTTTATTTTATTCTTTCTGGGGAAACATTTGGAAAACATGATTTTTGTTGAAAAAATAAGTAAAAAAATTAAGTTTTCGAGATATATTATATTATTATGTGGTGGACGTTAAAAAATGATAAAGTACTTTCTAAACATCCATGGGTCCCTTCTCATCCGAATAATTAAATGAGGAATCGAATCCTTATCACTGGGCAACACAAACAATAGAGAATGCTAGCTATATCACAAACTTAGCTAGCTGACATGTCAACATTTGAGGTGAAAAAAAAAAATTTGTTCGAATTTGCCACTAAATACACCTAGTTCTCTTCAATCTTTGAATCCTTATTTAATAATTTGGATCTTGGGAAGGGACCCTGAATGTTTAGAAAATACTTTATCATCGTGCAACACAAACCTAGCTAGTTGACATGTTAACATTTAAGGTGAATTTTTTTTTTTTTTTAGAATTTGCCACTAAAGTGATACTTTTTCATTTTTAAGAGGTTGAAGATTTCTTTAGGGCATTTGTAGTATGGGTTTTGTTTTTTATGTTTTTGTTGGGTACCGTAATAGTGAATAGTAAAAAAAAAATCACGTTTCGCAAAAACTTTTTTGTTGTCTAGTGTCGAAACGTTTCGTGAATAGTGATAAAAATAGAAATATCAATTTAGTGTTTTTATATGTTTTCGAACTTGGTACTGTAACGATGAACAATAATTTTTTTTTTTTAGAAACTCAAATGACATTTTTAAACCAACTATTATATTTTTCAAACTTGTAACACTTTTTTACCAGATATGTTTTTATATTTTTACCTTCAAAAATCTTACAACGACGTTATCAAACATGCTTTCAATTACTATTCAAAATACTTATTTTATTTTGAGTAAAAAAAAGGCTAAAAACAAAACGCGTACCAAACAAGCCCTTAGTAACTATTAACATTTTTAAATTTGATTAAAGTGATCGCACACCCTTTTTTTTTTTTTTTACAATTATAGTCTTTTATTTAAAAAAATATATCAAGAAGGTTCCACAACTGATTATTAATGCATTAATACAATTACTACCCTTTATACTATTAACATTTTATTTTTTATTTCTTTTTGTGTCTTGTCGATCAAAAGAGATATTTTTGTAAGTTACGCTATGCGGAATGGATGTGAAAGTTTGATGTAAAAATAATATAGAGGGAGGTGAATAGGTCTTGCTCCTTTATTCAATTTTAAATTATTTTAATTTTATCAAAATAAAACTAAAACAACAACCCACAAAGCAAAAATAAAGTGTAAGTAAAGTAATTCAGGGGAAAAAAAACATGTAAGTAAAGTAAATAAAATTTGAAAGATGATACCAAATTTTGATTGGGTATATATATATATATATACCTCATTCTCTTCAATTTTTGAATCCTTATTTAATTATTCGGGATCTTGAAGAGACCCATATATGGATATTTTAGAAAATACTTTATCATCGTGCAACACAAATGATAGAGAATGGTGAAAAAAAAGAAGTTAGAATTTGCTACTAAAATGATACTTTTTCATTTTTCAAGAGGTTCAAGATTTCTTTAAGGCATATTTAGTATACATTTTGTTTTTAATATTTTTGTTGGATAAATAGTAAAAAAAAAATATGTTTGATAAAAATTGTTTTATTTTGTATAGTATCGAAACGTTTCGTGAATAGTGACTAAAAGTTGAAACATCGATTTGGTGTTTTTATATGTTTTCACACTATAACGTTTGGTATTGTAGTGATGAACAGTAATTTTTTTTAAAAAAAAAAAAACTAAAATGACATTTTTAAACCAACTATTATATTTTTCAAACTTGCAACACTTTTTTACAAAATATGTTTTTATATTTTTGCCTCAAAAAATCTTACAATAAATGGGCATTACCAAACATGTTTCCAATTGTTATTCAAAATTCTCTAAAACAAGTGTTTTGTTTTGGGTTAAAACAAAAGCACAAAAAATAAAACGCATACCAAACAAACCGTTAGTAACATGGACAGACTAAACAAGAAGTCAGGAGGAGCTGAAATATTACTGGAAACTGGAATTATCAATGAACTTTTTTTTTTGGTTAAAGCGTTTAAATTGTTTTTTTTTGGTTAAAGTGCTTACTAGAACAATCCTTGTGTTCTTGTGGACGTTATTCATTTCCCTCGAGTGGTGACCGATCAAATCACTATGTGATTATGTGTGTGTTCTAGAAAGATTGATAGATAAATCTCTTAGATTTTCTAAAAATATAATCTTCCTAAGGCTTATATAATTAATGAAGTTGTAGTGCAAAAGCCATAAATAAATCTAGATGACTATCAGGGTTTATATAGAATTTAGAATGACCAAATCCCTCTGAAAATATAAAAAATTTCATGCACAGGACTTGGTACACTTCTAAACTAACTAGGAAGAAAGCTGAATCAGGATTGCAAAGTTTATATAACCTGTCAGGACTCTTGAACCGGTTCAAGATTCGCAGAAGTATTTTGAAGCCAACCTCGAAAGCCTTGAACCGGTTCAGAAAAGCTTGAACCGGTTCAAGTCTAGCAGACTTGAATTTTAGGTTCATAAAGGCTAAAAACACTGTTTTGGTACGTTCGGAAAATATACCAAGTATAGAATGTGTCTTAATCTCTTTAGATTTTTCCTAAAGTGTTGTTCTTTCCTTTTTTGAATGATTTCAGTCATGGTAGCTTTGAACAACCTTCCAATTCCGCAGTCGTTGTCGATCCCAATATAGTAACTTGAAATTACAACTCCACTCGGACTTGTTTTGTTTCCGATAATTGCTAATTACAAAATTTATATCTCACAGGAAAATCTCTATATTTTGTTGGGAAATACTATGTTTGGTGGAACAATTACAAAAATGGAATGGAATAATGTTTCAAGATCTACTAGAGTGGACGAGAGAAGTAAGAAGAGTTCAATTTGGTGATACGAAAGTAGATTCTAGGTTCAATTATTTGAACTTGGAATTTGCTTGGAATAGGTAAATGTAGTGGAACGGCGAAGAACGAAAAGAGGAAAGAAGATGCTAGGTTTAAGGTGGAGAGATCTTTGTTTGAGGTGGAGATATAGAGGAACATGTGAAAAACAAATTTAAGCCAAGGTGGAGATTGTTGGGTTTTGTGGCTCGAATTAAGTGTATATGTAGTGTTATGAAAAAAGTGAACATATTCAAATTATTTGGAACTAATTCAATTAGGGCGAAATACTAAAATTGAAGATGGAACCAGGTCAACATATTTGGAACTAGTTCAGGGGGGTGAAAATTGAAGTTAGGGAATTTGCAATTGATGTAGTAACTCCTTTTATGCAAGTTGGGAATTCTTGTACAACACGGAATGGGTTGAAGATTTTATAAATAGAGAGAGAAAGAAAGATATAATCATAGATAAAGAAAGTGAGTTGGTATGTGAGAACAAAGAGTGTGTAACCAAATTATTGAAGTAAAGTTGTTCTTCACTCGTGGACGTATGCAATATGCCGAATCACGTAAATCTGGTTTTGTTTGTATATGTACTTTTATCTGTTCTGTTTGTCAATGGTGTGTGTGATTTTAACAATTTTTAAATGGAAAAAAAGAAAAGAAAAAATATACATTAATATAAATTTAGTAGGACAATCCACACCCATGAACAATGGCACCACAATTACTGAAAGTAATTACGAGCATTCAAATTTAGCAATGAAGATTCTTTTTTTTTTTTTCAAGAGCAAATAATTAGATTAAACTTAGAGCACATTACAATTCATAAATATCAAATCCAAAAGCCAAACAGGCCACACATTCCATAGTAAATCAGAAGCTCTAACCATATGTATCAAATCCATATGTTGATCTTCCCCTTATTTGATCCGAACTGAGTCGAAAACCAAACCAAAGCACTCTCTAGCTTATAACAAATCTTACTTTTTTTTCTTGAGGAATTTTTTGAACGAAAGGGCCGAGTACTTGGGGTATCTTTTCCGTCCATCTTTGAAATCTACATAGTTGAGACCGAACCTTAATGTGTATCCTGAGGCCCATTCGAAAGTGTCAAGAAATGTCCATGCAAAATAGCCCTTAACTTTGACACCCTCCCTGTCAACATCCAACCATTAGAATAGGCTTGCGAAAACTCAAAAAACTAAGGGCCTATTTGGTTCGGTTTTTTATTATCGTAGAATTGAAAATCAGGAATAAGTGTACAAAAACTGATTTCATTAGTTTTTAGAAAATTCAGTCTAAAAAGTCTGTTTTTAGATGATTGACTTTTATAATTTTGCAGAGTTTATTTTCGGGAAAAAAAAATCTGTTTTCAAAAAATTTAACCGACCAATCCCATAAGTTCTTATACCTAATGTAAAAGAAGAACCCTAATGAAAAAAATCATATGGTATTCACGTTATTAAAAGAAGGCCAAAAAAAAAAAATGGAGGCATAAAGTGGTGAGAAAAATATTAGAAAAATCTTTTAGCATTCGGAAACATTGAATCGATGTCTTGAAATCGTAAGAAAACTAGTTCAAACTTTAAACCTAATTTTCTTTTTCATTTCAAGACCCCAATTCTATACCAAATGTAGCAATAAAAGAGTAAACTCACTCGATGGCTTTTTTAACGGCCAAAAGATGGCGTTGGTAGAAATCTATCCTCTGATAATCCTTAACGCCTTCCTTAGCTGTACTATTGTCATAGTCACCCATACCTGGAAAAAAATTTCAAGGAATTAAACTCCGAAATAAAGTGAGTTAAAATTGTTTCAACAAAGTGTGAAGTAATCAATGTAGAGGTGATAATTTGCCCTACCATTTTCTGTAATGTAAATAGTTGGATTGTTGTATTTTTCTTTTGTATAGACCAGAAGATCATGGAGTCCTTGTGGATATACGAAAAAATTGCTAACACCAGTCTGCAAAATTCATTTGTTAAAAGAAAATTGTGGAAGGAAACAATAAATAAATAAAAAAAAAAAAAAAAATTTGTTTGTAGAAATTAACCAACTGAGTTATTATGTATTATAATGTGTTTGTGTGTCTTAGCAAACTTACCGGGTCCCCAATTGGTATTCCATTTCGGCCCGCTGTGAAAAATAAAAAAATAAATTACATTGTGACTGAATGCATTTGAAATAAAAACAAAAAAACACAAAAGATGAATGTCAGCATTTTGTTAGTATTACAAGAATACATTCATTTCTTATTTTCGAGTTTTGAAAGCAAAAAAGTTAAAACATATGGGTCTATTTGATTTGGTTTTCTAAAAACGGTTCTCAAAAACTCAAAAAAATATAAAACTATTTTCAGATAACTATATAAGCACATACTTTTTACCTTGTGAAACCTGAAATTAAGTACCTTAATTCAAGTAACGGGCTTCGTAATATATGTTTTAGAATGAACTTACTTGTAAGATTGGCAAGATTATCAGCCGTGGCACTGACATTAATACTATTAGCAAAAGGAACATTAGCAGCAAAATTTGCAGTGTAGTAATTGATTCCAAGAAAATCCATGGAGCCTTTCAGCATCGCAAATTGCTTAGCAGTGAATTTTGGTAATCGTTTTCCAACAAGCCTCCGCATTATAGGCGGATAATCACCATAAGTTATCGGGTGAAGAAACCTGTAATTGAAAAAAAAAAACATATTAGTATTATTCATTTTACTTAGAATTCTTTGCACATATTTCAAAAAATCGTTTCAATCCAGTGATTAAATATAAATAACTATTAGTGTTAAATCTACAATATTTACTCACCATCCATACATAAAATCAAGGGCTCGTCGGGCTGCTATATGGTTAATTTTGGACCTCGAGTAGGGCACAAACCAATGAGACACTGTTGTTATCCCTATCTGGCCCTTTTGTTTGGCCTACACAAAATCACCACCATTGAGAATAGTTGTCACATACATTATTCATATGATGTTACAACTTGGACAAGTTCAATTTTCCTATATATAATGAACTTCATGGAGAAGAAAAGTACGTCAAAGGACATATAACATCAATTGCTATGTCAAATTAAAGGACACATAAACTAATTCATTTTGATACTTAAAAAAAAATACATCCATTCTTTTTGTGAATTCGACCATGGAATATATTTTATATATATATATATATATATATATATATATATGAATGTCTTTCTAATTAATCACCTGGTATTTCTGCTTGTACAGTTTGACTGTTGATGCATGACAAAGGAGCAAATTGTGGCCAACAATATAAGGCTCAGTCGCGGAGTTACCGGCAGGGCAGTCGTTGTTCATCCAAGAAGAACACCGTCCGGGTGCGAAGGCGCCTGAATCATAGCCACCGGTGGTGAAAATCCATGGTTCATTCATGGTGAGCCAACGCTTTACTCTGTCACCAAATTCTTTGAAGCAAAGTTCAGCGAAATCGAGAAAGTCATCCCTGCCAATCAAAAAAAAAATCGAATGGTTTACTCTTCAGTTGGAGAAATTCAAATTATTTTAAGTTATTAAATTGATTTACCATGGTAACGTAAATTCAAAAGTTTTTCTAAAATAATAAATAGAACACGTGGAAGTGTTTGAAATTGTTAGTTTAGTAGTTTATCTGCCTGTATAAAATGATAGTTACGATATTATAAAATAAGAAATGTATATTAATAAATTTAAAGACATTTTTATAATTTCTTTTAAAAGAATAAGGCAAGGAAGTACAATTAGAAAAAAATGGAGTGCTAATAGAACTTCTCCTTTTTTTTTTTTTTTTTTTTTTTTTTTTTTTTTTTTTTTTAAATGTAAATTGAGATTTATTAAAAATACCATAAAATATTGAGGATTTTTTTTTTGAAAGTTGAAATTGAATTATAAAAAAAAATTAATAAATAAATAAATGAATATTGAGGGTTTTACTTACACAACCAGAGCGCTTAAAAAGCCACCATACTCCTCATGTAGAGCTTGGGGAAGATCCCAGTGAAAGATTGTCACCAAGGGTTGTATACCTGACCATTTTTTTTGGAGAAGTATGAGAGAGAGGTATTTTTTGCAGAAGAAATATGTGTTTGTGTGTGTGTGTGTGAGAGAGAGAGAGAGGACGAACCATTTGCTAGTAGCTCGTTGATGAGACTGTTATAGAAGGCCACACCTTCCTTGTTCACTCCTCCACTCAGCTTCCCAGCTAATTTACAAAAAAATTATACAAGAAAAAAACTGATCATAAGAAAATTAAGAAAAAAAATTGTATATGCCAATACTTTTATTACGTTTGGTGTGTGTGTGTCTATATATATATATATATATATATATATATATAATATTTCTCAGCGATTAATCTGTGACAATGGTTTTCAAGTGTGATTGGGTTTAATTGGAAAATTATTTTTCTAGTAAAAAGCTCAAAGTACTTATCATTTATCAATGCAAAAGCTGTCATGAGCCATGAGCTGATCCAGATCATTTTAATTATGGGGGCAGAAATAGTAGTAAGAACATACATTTGAAAAATTAATAAAGTGCAATATTTTTCTTTGTCATGTATTTTTTTTTTATAAATGTAGATCTAAGAAACTTATTTATAAATGAAAAGTATTCCATAAATCAATAAAAATGCATAAAGTCAGAATTATTATTATTATTCATTATTTTAAATTTTGAAACTCACTATTTGAAGGGCATATATATATATACTAGGAAAAGGCACGTGCATGTGGTGAATGTTTTGTAACTTCTCTAATTTTTGTTTTCATTTTTTTTTCTTTCTTTCTAATTGTTACTTGTAATAATAAACCTTACAAAAAATAGCAATTTTTGTAACTCTTTTTATATTAATTAATAAATATTTTTTTATATTAATAAATAAATACTGAAATATTTTGAACTTGGTGGTTGAGTTTGAGTTTTTGTAAAGTAATAAATTCTTTTAGTTTTTATATTAATATTGAAATATTTATAATTTATTTTTTATTAATTAATAATTTATTTTTTAATTTTAATACTGAAATATTTGAGTTTTCTATAGTAATAAATTCTTTTAGGTAATTTGAATTTTATTAGGTAATTTGTAATTTGAAATTTATTAGGTAATATTTAAAAATTATATATATATATATATATATATATATATATATATTTGAATTTTAATAGGTAATATGTAATTTGAATTTTATTAGAAAATTTGAAATTTAGTATAATTTTAAATTTACAATAGAAATTCAATTATATTAATTTTGAATTAAATTTTGAAACAGAAATTCAATTATACCAATCATACATTAGATTTAAATTGATATCAAAATTTATTATATGGAGTTTGTGATTTTTTGCAAAACCCTAGGTTATATTTTATTTTCTATAAATATATATTTTTATAATGTGATAGAGTTTTAAAGAAAATAAAATAGGTAATTTGTGGTAGAGTTTTATAGAAATTATTTTATTTTATTTAAATATATCTTTGTAAAATTAGATTTTCTTTTATTAAAAAACTCATAATAAATAGATAAATACAGGGTTATATGTGATAGAGTTATCTTTTTATATTAATTAATAAATATTTTTATATTAAAAAATAAATATTGAAATGCTAAAATTCTTTACACTTTTATATTTTATTTATTTATATTATTATATATTTTCTTTAAATATATCCTTCTATAATGAGATAAAGTTTTAAAAAAAATAAAATAGATAATTTGTGGTATAGTTCTATAGAAATTATTTTATTTTCTTTAAATATATATATACTTGTCTAATTATATTTTCTTTCATTAAAAAAACTCATAGTAAATAGATAAATAGGTAATATGTGTTAGAGTTTTATAGAAAATCTTTTAAAAACACTTTTTCTATGAATTAATAAATATTTTTATATATTAACATTTTTTGTCTAATTAGATTACCTTTTATTAAAAAAATTCATAAACAATATTTTTATATCTGCATATCGGGTCACTGTGTGGATTGCAGTTAGATTAGAATTTGTTCATGGGCCTGACCCGCTCTTATATTTTTCAGGTATTAAACAATTCCAGTCTTAGGGTTTGATCGGGCTGAGCAGAGACGGTCATTCATTCTATCCGACGACGTAAGATTTCATTCCTTGTTTTAGAGTTTTGTCTTCAGTTGTTTACTTATCATTTGAGATTTTATTTAGGGGTCCACTAGATGGATTCCCGAGTTGTACTCTTGGAGGTTTTGGAGTTGGATTATTTAATCTTTATTATTTGAGGATTTTTATAATCAGAATTTCTTTTCAACGTATTATCTTATTTCTTATTTATTTATATTCTGTGTTCGTTTATATATTAATTGTTTGATATTCTCTCGGGTTTAGGTTTGGGCTTGATAAACCCGTATCTCGGATTCGAGGGGTATCTCAAAACTCTTTTAAAAACTCTTTTTATATCAATTAATAAATATTTTTTATATTAATAATTCTTATCTAATTAGATTTCTTTTTATTAAAAAACTCATAATAAATAGATAAATTGGTAATTTGTGTTAAAGTTTTATTGAGACTCTTTTTAAACCACTTTTTATATCAATTAACAAATAATTTTTTATATTAATAATAGTTGTCTAATTAGATTTCCTTTTATTAAAAAACTCATAATAAATTGGTAATTTATGTTAGAGTTTTATAGAAACTCTTTAAATATATCTTTGTCTAGTGTGATAGAGTTTTATTGAAAATAAAATAAGTAATTTGTGATAGAGTTTTAAAAAAATTATTTTATTTTCTTTAAATATATCATTTTCTAATTAGATTTAATTTTATTATGAAAGTTATAATAAAAGCTAATTTGTGGTAGAGTTTTAAAAAAAATATTTTATTTTATATATCAATTAATAAATATTTTTATGTAAATAATTCTTGTTTAATTAGATTTCCTTTTATTCAAAAATTTATGATAATAAATAGATAAATATGTTAATTTAAATTTTATTATGTAGATTTTAGAGTTTTTTTTATTTTTTATAAAAACTCTTTTCATATCAATTAATAATTTTTTTTTTTTATACAAATCAATAAATACTGAAACTCTTTGCACATTTAATAATAGTATGGATAAAAACTCTTTTTATAAAAATTTTATAATAAAAATTCTTCTCTAATTAGATTTTCTTTTATTAAAAAACTTATAATAAATAAATAAGTAGGTAATTTGTGTTGGAGTTTAATAGAAACTCTTTTAAAAACTCTTTTTATATCAATTAAAAAATATTTTTTATATTAATAATTCTTGTCTAATTAGATTTCATTTTATTGAAAAACTCATAATAAATAGATAAATAGGTAATTTGTGTTAGAGTTTTATAGAAACTCTTTTAAACCTCTTTTTATATCAATTAATAAATAATTTTTTATATTAATAATACTTGTTTTATTAAATTTCTTTTTATTAAAAAACTCATAAGAAATTGATAAATAGGTAAGTTGTGTTAGAGTTTTATAGAAATTCTTTAAATATATCTTTATCTAGTGTAATAGAGTTTTATTGTAAATAAAATAGGTAATTTCTAATAGAGTTTTATAGAAATTTTTTTATTTTCTTTAAATATATCCTTGTCTAATTAGATTTAATTTTATTAAGAAACTCATAATAAAAGTTAATTTGTGGTAGAGTTTTAGAAAAATTATTCTATTTTATATATCAATTAATAAATATTGTTTATATTAATAATTCTTGTCTAATTAGATTTTCTTTTATTAAAAAATTGATAATAATAAATAGATAAATAGGTTAATTTAAATTTTATTAGGTAGATTTTTGAGTTTTATAGTTTTTTTATTATTTTTATTTTTATTTATAAAAACTCTTTTCATATCAATTAATAAATATATTTTTATATAAATAAGTAAATACTAAAACTCTTTACACATTTAATAATAGTATAGTTAAAAACTCTTTTTATATCAATTAATAAATATTTTTTTATATAAATAAATAAATACTAAAACTTTATATAACTAAATACTAAATCCTCAATGCCTCTATTTATAAGCTTCTTGGATTAATAGGATGATGACATGTATCCTCTCCTGATAATGACATAATCATAATTGGGCCGGACTGGTTATATTGTAATAATTATCTATAAAAAATAACTATTTTTTTAATATCAATTAATAAATATTTTTTTATATAAATAAATTAATACTGAAATACTGAAATATTGAAACACTGAAACTCTTTGCACATTTAATAATAATATAGATATAGATATAGATATATATTTGGATTTTCCAAACATTTTGAGAGCCATGCTTGCCTACAATCATAATTATAAATGAGTACAAGGTAGAATTTGTCAATTACTCAAAATTAAATTTTATAATTTTCCAAAAGGATTAAAACTTATCCCTTGCTTAATCAAGTCTTTTTATTTTTTTATTTTTTTTAATTTTTATTTTTATTTTTGCAATAACGTCTTTCCAATGAACGACAATAGTAATAAACATATTATTTTAATTTAAAGGATTAATTTTACTAACACCCCTCAGGTTTGACCAAATACATTGAAATATCTTTCAAAAATAATTATCACTTAGATTCAATTTTACTTTAAAAAATTGTGAAAAGACAAATGTACCCCTAATTTTTTATACCTTGTATTTCAAAATATTATTCTCTCTGTCTCATATTAAATATCCCTTTTGGGGATCGAGTAAAACTTTTTAAGGGGATATGTAATTATTGCATTGTCCCCTTTAAAAATTACAAAGCTACCCTTTCAGGTTCAAATATATATAAAATCAAGTTTGAAATTTTTAAAATTTTAAGGGTATTTTATGGAAAGATGTGAAATATGTTGTTTAAATTTGGTAAGTGGACAAATATTTTGGGACAATCCAAAAAGAAAAGATGGATAACTAAATTATAACGAAGGGAGTAACAATTTAAGAGGACATAATTGCCTCCATTAATTACTCTCACCTACCTATTCCTCTCTCTTTCACTTTGCTGGACCAACACCCCAACCATTGTCACATTCTTCAAGCTTTCCTTCTCTCTAGTGATTAATCAAAGTAAAATAATATATAAGGTAAAGTGCATAAAACCCCCCTTAACTATTGTCCATTTGCAACTAACCCCCCTGAATTAAGAATTGCCCCCCTAAATTATTAATTTGTTGCAAGTAAGGTGTGATGACCTTGTGGGCGGGTGTGCCGTGATC